AAAAAGAGAATGACATTATCAATGTAGAGTCGGATATTTGGGAGATTGAGGCGCTCACAATTGTCTACTTACTCATATGGATGATGTTGTGGCAAGTAAATTGAAGGTGACTTACAGGCATTTACCTCATAACAACAATGGGCATTTGGTCTAGTGGTATGATTCTCGCTTAGGGTGCGAGAGGTCCCGAGTTCAATTCTCGGAATGCCCCTTTTTTTGGATAAATTTTTGTATGTCATTTGTGAAAAATACGCTCGTATCCTTTTAGACTATTATATTTAAAATTTCTGGATATGATGTTACAAATTTTCTTAGAACGTCGATGTTGATGTTTATTGAAATTTCTTTGATATATCGTTTGTAAAATTGTGAACGAATGAGCGAGATTTTCGGTCTACGAAATTATCATAATATTCGAGAGCTACGGATGACTAAAAGGATAAAGTGAGTCAGAGTGAGTCTAAGACTCTAGAGAAAATTCATCTTAAAACAGCCAATACTCTGGTGGGTTTGCACTTTGATGTCAAATTTTGCTCCACGCACAGTATGAGTTGAGTCAGCCCAGATCCGGCCCATATGATCGGGCCAGGGTAGACCCTATTTCTATGGATTCAAAACTTCATGGATTAATGCCCCATCCAGCGCCGCAAAATTACTACACTTGGTTTATAACCAAAAAAAAAAAAAAAAAAAACATTTTGACTACACTTGGGTTGGACCACTTTGGGCGACTTTGGTGACCTATTTTAAGGTTGAATAAGTTAGACAAGAATTAGCTGAGCTAATCGTGTTTGGTCATTGGTTGAATAATTTGTAAAACAATATTTGAGGTTATCGTGAAATTAAGTAATAAAATATTTTATAATGCTATTGTGGTATAATTGTGATCTACTTGTGATTCAATCATTTTATATAGGTAAAAGTCCTACTAATGTGGACTCCAACAGATGATTTCTCTAGTCGAATTGTCAATATGATTTTGCAAATAATGACCACGAAGTGCCAATCGGTGGCGGCGTAGTTGGCCGGTATGGACACGTATCATTTACTAAGAAAATGTATACATGTGCAGACTGTCTAGAATTTGGAGGTCTCAGGTTTGAATTCCTTAACACGATGTCAATAGTCTCAGGTTCAAATCCCTTAATAGTCCCAGGCTATCGTAAAAGTAACTAATAAAATATTTTATAAGACTATTGTGGTATAATTATGATTCAATCGTTTTATATAGCTAAAGCCCTATTAATGTGGACGCCAACAGTTGATTTTCCCAGTCGGATCGTCAATATTATTTGCAAATAATGACCACGAAGCACCAATTAGTGGCGGCGTATTTGGGCGGTCTGGACATGTATTCATTTATTTACAAAATCAATACATGTCCATACCTCCTACAACCTAGAGGTCCGAGGTTTAAATCCCTTAATTAGTACCTTAATCACAAAAAAACTAATCTATATCACTCTTATAAAAAAACGAAAATCAGCAAAATCACTTGAGTTGGGATGGCAATTTGAACTCACCTTGTCGGGTATTATCGGACCTGACTCGCGATGGGGTGACCCGAGACACAGTAGTATGAGATGGGGCATTTGTATTTACTTTCAACTCGCCCGCCCCCATTTTTTGCTCTTTTGATCTCAATTTCTTACAAAATCTATTCATATTTTTCCGATTTTGACTTTTATTCAACTAATTATGCTTAATTTTTCAACTAGTTTTACTCATTTTATTATCACTCATTTTATTTTTAAAGTGTTTTCCTTCATTTTTTCATAAAAAATAAACTTTGCATATATTTTTTTTCAAATAACATGCAAAAAGTAGTTTGACCCGGCCCGCCCATATCTTTGCGGCTGAATATTGAAGTATCCGTATTGTCCGCTCTATTTAGGGATGTCAATCCAACCCGTAACCATGGGTACCCTACCCGACCGTAACCGGTCAACGAGGGTAATTACCCGCTTTGACGGGTTAAGGGGCGGGTACGGGTAATACCCGGTTTCAAAATAAAGGGTAGGGTACGGGTATGGTAATCGATAATACCCGCTCCGTTATACCCGCCCCGCTAACCAAAGGGTCAATTTCCCTTGAGAAATTTAGATTAGCTTGAGAAATTGAGTTTATCTACCATTATTGATGATGAAGATGTAGACGATTATTATGTTTGTGTGGATTGTAGAAGTAAGAACAATTATTATGTGTTTGCTATTTTTATTTGTGTAGATTGTTGACGCTCGAACAGTTACAAGTATTGAGAATTTTTTTTTATAAAGAAGTATCGAGAATTTTTAATGGACAACAGTATGTATGTGCATATATGTGTATAAGTTCATAGTTTAGGATTCGTACCCATGGTTACCCGAATACCCGTGGTTACCCGGTGGGTAGGGTATGGTTATATAATTTTCATACCCGGTGGTTATTTGGTCGGGTATTTTAGAAAGCTCTACCCGGCGGGTTAGGAGTTGGTATAGGGTAAACCCGCACCCGACCCTACCCATTGCCATCCCTAGCTCTATTGCCATCATTAAACTGTGTCACTTGGTGAAAATTAATGTTTAGTTTAAGGTTGAAAAAGTCAGACGAGAATTAGGATTATTATTATTATTAAATCCAAAAGCGAATCCTGTGTCGAAAAAACAAGTAATAAAATGGAAAAACAGGCATTTTACACGAACCACAAGAGCGCTACCGCCAGCGAGCGGGCTGGAATCAGTGTCTGTCGGCGGCGTCGGTCTGGCAAATGGAATCCAAGTCAAATTTCGGTTCTTGACGAAACCCCATAGGAAGCTTCCCCCGTCCGCGATTCAGTTTTTTCGAAATCCGTCGCTCTCATTCTCTGTTATTTCTTCTTTTCGACGCCGGCCACGGAATTCTAGCTCGAGGGCTCGACAGATGGCGGTGATTTGAGCCGCCGATCTAGTGTGTTATAACAATACCCTCATCTTCCTCAGTTGGATTACATGGTCGATTCCCGCCAAGATCAGGAGCAGCAGGAGCCGCTTTTGCTTCCATCTCCCGGTTCGTTTCTCCTTGTCCTTTACCCTTTCTGATTATGCCCGTTCGGCGATGGGATTGATTGGTTGTTGTTTTGCTGTTGGGAATCGGTCGTGTGTGGATGGGAATGACGGGAAGGTGTTTGTCGAATTGCGTCTATGAGAAAAGACTGATGGGTGGGATGCTGGTTAGTGGAATTCTGTTAGTTGGGGATGATATCAGCTGAGAAAGAACGAGACTTTGAAGTGTTTTTTTTATATAAGCTTTTGTGAGTGTCTACTACTATGTCTTAAGAGGACGAGGGGTTCCCTTTTTTCTTGACATTTCCAAGAGTTATACAACTACGAATCTTGAGCAGAAGGGGGGCATGAATTGGACCTCTGTTTCTGTTTGTTAGCAGTTTGTTAGTAGGTAGAAGTAGGAGTCTGATGGGACTCTGTTGGGGTTGCTAAAAATCAGTGAAGTTCGTCAGTTTGCAGCAAATTGGACTCTGCGTTAGCAGCTAGATGAGCTAATTCAGACTGTAAGTTTCTCAGGATTGTTGATCATGCCAGGTGAAACAATGGAAGAAGAAGAAGAATCATCACCAGCAAAACCAGCCACTACATGGAGGGACAGAATTTCAGAATTCAAGGCCGAGTTCTGGCTAGCATACAACGCCAAGGCAGTATCGCACTGGATCCTTCTGTTTCTAAGCAGCCTCGCCATGCTCGTGGCCTTCCCAGCTTCGAGCCTCTTATCCCGTGTCTACTACTCCAATGGCGGCACAAGCAAGTGGGTCATCTCATGGGTAGCAGTTGCCGGGTGGCCCTTGTCTGCCTTAATCCTCCTCCCAACGTATGTCATCTGTAAAAGATCGCCTACTCCCCTCACGTTCAAGCTCGTTGCATCATACATTGTTCTCGGGTTCCTGAGTGGAGCAGACAATCTCATGTATGCATACGCCTACGCTTACCTCCCGGCTTCCACCTCTTCCCTCTTGGCTTCATCGTCGCTCATCTTCTCCACATTGTGTGGCTACTTTATAGTTAACAACAAGCTGAATGCCTCCATGATCAACTCCATTGTCGTGATCACTGCTGCCATGGCGATCATTGCCCTGGACTCGGACTCCGACAGGTAGTACATATGTGCATTTCATTCCCGGTTAAGGTTGATACCAAATAAAAAACTGTTTTCTCATAATTATTCCTCGTATGTATCTGATTTGAGGTGAATGCGCAGGTATGGGAATGTAAGCGACAAGCAGTACATCATGGGGTTCATATGGGACATCCTGGCATCGGCTCTCCATGGCCTGATCTTTGCCCTCTCGGAGCTAGTCTTTGTCAAGCTCCTGGGACGGAGATCCTTCCACGTTGTCTTGGAGCAGCAGGTGATGGTGTCCTTCTTCGGCTTCTTGTTCACCTCAATTGGAGTCATTGCGAATCATGATTTCGGAAAAATGAGCTCCGAGGCTGTGAAGTTCAAGGGAGGCGAAAGTGCGTACATTCTGGTACTGGTGTTTGGTGTGATTACGTTCCAGGCCGGGATCTTGGGTGGAACTGCTGTGCTGTTCTTGTCGAACACTGTGCTGGCCGGGGTGCTTAATGCGATTCGGGTGCCTCTCACCAGCATTGCTGCAGTGATCCTGCTGCACGATCCAATGAGCGGGTTCAAGATTCTGTCTCTAGTGATTACTTTCTGGGGATTCTGTTCTTACATCTATGGAAGTCTGTCTTTCACACCCAAGAAAGAAGCCATTCCATAGTGATCCCTTTAGTCTAAGCCATTAATCATTATTGTTGCATCTTTTAGTTTATATCAGCCCATTGTATCGTACAAAGGTATTTGAACATATAGCCATTGAACAACAGCAATATTTGGTTGGAATGAAGCAGAATACGCAGCTATTATGTAGTTTAACGTCAGCTTTCTTTGTCCACCTATCTACAGAGATGAACCGTACCAAATCTCGTACTAGACTACTCGTGACTTCCCACAATTTAATAACGATTTTATGACATATGAGATGGCTAAGCAACAATTTCCTAGCCATTTCAGCTAAAAAGAACAAAACAAAATCCATCCTTTGTTGCAAATTGCAGCCAGGTTCAGAACCAGCATTCAGCATGAGGGCGACAGAACATGAGACCCTAAAGAGTAAAGGCTCAATTACTAACGATGACTCGATGAGCCTTTTAATGTAGTCCTGAAATGGCTAGGCAAACAAGACTTCCTCATCGTGAATAGATATGCACATCCAATTCAAGAACAGATAACCAAACACAGGATAACCGACATCGATATTAACCATTCGTCTCAAAGCAAAGAACAGAAGGACACGAAGTAGAAAGTATTCGAAGTATTCGTCTATGTATCCTTCTACAGCCAAGTAACAAGTAGCAGCACTGCAATCAGGAAATCAAGCAGCAGCTGCTTGCTCTGGGCTTTTTCTATCTCCCCACTTCGAGACCAAACATTATGAGCTTTTGTTTCAACCACCACAACCGACACATTCTTGATAAAGGAAAAAAAAGGGAAGTTTTTGTTCAAAGACATGCATAGTAGAGATAAGAATCATCGTCAGCCCCCATAAAAACCAGTTGTTTTGCAATCAACTATAGCTAAAATGCTACAGCATCATCTTCTTCTAGTTCTTGCCAATGTCCTTGAGACCATTGATCTGTTCCTCTCCCATTGCTGACATGACAGACACCACGAGGTCCTTTCCTTCTGCAAACCCATCTTTGATCTGATTGAAAAACAAAGAACCAATGAACTTTTTTCAGTTTATAAACAACTTCAACAACTGTGTCCAGAGACATTCAAAATGAATAACAAGCTGGTGAAAAAGGTGTGTTGGATCTTACCTGAGCAAGCAGAGCCTCATCGGTGGGAAGCCTCAGGTCGTCTTTGGTGTTCCCATTCTCAGTCAGAAGACTCACCTTCAAGCGGTACAAAAGAAACTGGATTAGCTAAAAGCTCAGTGAAGTAAGCAAAAAACAAGGACCTGTACATTTGTGCTGCCCATGGAAATTCCATGCTTGAATGATACAAAAGCATGCAACCTCAATTGGTACTTACAAAGCCATCTTCAGAGATGTCGATGAGCTGATAATCAGTACGGTTGACATGTGGAACCTATAAGGCGAAAAACAAAATCAACCTACTTTAAGCGAGAAGCACATAAACACAGCATAAAAGAAGTACACGGAACAAGCAAAGAAGCTGCGAAATTACATCACAATTATGGGACGAAGGAACAATATCCTCAAGCTTCTTGCCATTGAAGATATCAATGGCCACAAAGTGACACTTAGCGTGGCCGTGCTTGCCAGTCTTTGAGGTGGAAACCTCAACAACCTGTTCAAAGCAAAATAGTGAAAATACACCGATTAATGGATCACAAAAACACAGTTCGGAAGGACAAAAGGCTATGACTTGTATCATTCCATTCATATCTTTACACAGTACCCTCAAGAGCCAGTCTCTGATAGAGACCACAGTCCACAGCAACCGGCTAATGAAAATTTCATCACCGTATACAAACAGTTAGTTGGCAATCAGATAACTAAAACGCCATTAACAGCCATAGGGACCATCAACACAACACAACCCAATCACAAACTATTCTAGAGAGGGTATTAGTTGCCAATCGGCTACCCAAATCGTTACTAATTCGACACATCAACACAACCCACAAAATACTATTATGCAGAGTAAGAACATCACCATCAGACGAGTGACAGTGGATCGATCCATCAATCCGATACTCATAAGAAACAAATACGATAACCCACAAAAAATCGGATGAACCCAGATCGCAAAAAGGGTTTGTGGATAAGAAGGATCCAAGATACAGACCTTGCAGGGACGGTTCTTGATGACTATGTAGCCATTCTTGCGAATGGTACCAGCCTGCTGTGGGTAGGTCTTGGAAGCTCCGGCATCAGCCTTGGATTCGAACTGGTGCTCCTCATCCGACATGGTTGCTTGAGGGATTTCTCTTTTTCTCTGTGCAACGGCGAGGATTTGGAGTAGGGATTTGAGGGAGAAGACGACGACCTGATTGCAAAGCCGAATTCCTATTTTATGGCGAGTTAGGTTAAGCTCTCTCCGACTTAACCACGGTTAATCATACGGCCATGCGATTTGATCCTGGCCGTTGGATATTCCCTTGAGGTTTAGCCCTTGTGTACAAATTTGTTTTCTGCCCCTACTTCTATTTTCCTGTACCGGATTGGCTCCTGAACTTTTACATTGTGATAATTCCGGTACATTTAAATTTTTACGTTTAGTTGTGATTTTTTTTAAAGTGAAAAATTGAGGCGCAAGGCACAAACTTTATGCAATAATATTCTGGGAGTTTCAACTCCAATGTGATCAAAGAACAACTCTAGCCAAGAAAATTATAAGAAGATTGAAAACTATTATCTCAAACAGACAAAGAATGGCCAAGCAAAGTTACATAATCGATAGTAAAGATAACCTCTAAGATATGTATATTCTCTAACATCGTTGAGTAATGTGAGTGTGAAGGTGTGACTGTTTTCATCGGTTGTTTGTTTATACTAGAGTTTACATATAGAAGCATTTTCCACCCCTAGTTCTCAAACGATCTTGGCGTCATGCACAATTCGAACCAGCTTTGCACGGGTGATTGAACTCCCTCCCAGGTTCGTAGGGGAAAAGGTACGATAAAATGATAATTGTCCTTGCCCTCTCCCCTCACAATGTTGCCAATTCTCGTACTATATAGGTGGAGAATGAATGACAAACCCACCTATATTTAGGCATGCCCAGCCCTGATATAGTAGTCTCTGTTAGTGTGTGGTATATGATCCACGATTGAACCTCTCTCAACAACTCGAGTTATTGGGATCAACTGATTTTTGACATGGTATCAGAGCCTTCTGTGACCGATAGGTCTTGTGTTCGTTTCCCGGTGACCCCCATTTGTTAAGCACATGGTATTCAGACCTGTGCAAACTTCAAGCCCTTGTGAGTGGCTTTCGTTTGAGGGGGAATGTTAGTGTGTGGTATATGATCCACGATTGAACCTCTCCCAACAACTCGAGTTATTGGGATCAACTGGTTCTTGACAGTCTCTAGCATTAAGGCATCATCCATTCGCTCCATTAACTACCAAATGCATACTATCTTCTCAAAGGTCAAAAACGATCTACTACCTTAGCTACTTTCTAACTTTCCGTGCTGCTAGATTTGTGCATCGAGTCTCAATTTCACATCGAAACAAATTGATATTCTTAGGTTATGATGGGTCTTCTGTTTTTAATCTCGATGCGCACGTTCTATGATCATTTTGATGATTTCACGTATACAACCTAAGTACCTAACTAGTAACTACATGAGCAGAATATGTGTGTTCGGATCGCACAAATCGAATGAATATCAAGATAATATGTCTAGATTGCATGCTTTCTCCAAGATCTTGCTTCTTAGTTTTCTATTTTGTCCATTGTTCCATTTACTTCTTTTGTCAACTAAACTTGGTAAGTTTCCATATTTCCTCTCCCTTTTTCATTGATTCTCACCTCTGGTCTTTGTGCTAGTGGTGTTGAAGGTATGTGGAATCCGGTGCTGAACTGACCATGGGAGTGGGATAGTGCCTCCTGGGTCCCTTGAACATCAAGGAGAATAGTATTCTCGTGGACTAAAATCTCAAAGTTTTCTTCTTTCGGCAGCATCATTTTCTTTGCATGAAATGACTTCACAATTGGTCCACCACTAACACCACCTCTTCTATAAATAAAAAAAAACACTCCTCGTCGAGACGTCGACAAATAATCTTACCGAAAGAGAGCAGAATACACTAATTCGAAATTCGTAGAATTCAAATCAACCACCTCAAAATTTTCATCCTGAAGCTCATGATATTCGGGCAATGATACACTCAACTGTTTACTAAAACTTGCCAAGGTACCTATATATGGGCTAGAAGACTGTTGGGCTGGGTTGGCGCTTTCTTGGGCCCACAGCTACTACCAAGGCCTGGTCCACAAACGTTCTCCCACACAACTTCTTTTGTGTGCACCAATGATGAATGATCACAAGTTCGTTCTCAATAGTTTCACTTGCAGGAATCACTTATCATAAGGTTTTCTTTTAAGACGAGACATCACTTAATTTGTACTTGAAGGTAGAGATTTTTCATTTGTGCTTCAATCAACTTTTAATAATAGAGTCGTGGAGATTCGAACATACAACCACTTGATCAAATCAGCTCTGATATCATATCATAAACCAATTGATCATAATAATTCGAGTTGTTGAGAGTTGAGAAAAGGTAAATTATAGATCTTGTATCAATGTCTTGCACGCTATAGCATTGACAATACAAATCGTACGGAATCAAACAGAAAAAATTAACTACTTCGAGTTCAACAGTAAATTACGATGATGAAAATTTGATGTAATCAAAGATGAACTGTTATGTCGAATGATGGTTGATGATAAAAATTTTATATTCAACACATGCGATTCAATCGATACGAACCGGTCGAGCTAGTGCAGGTTCACATATTAAGGTCGAACGGTCGATTGCTTTTTCTCCATGGCACTTGTGAAGTTACAACGTGTAAGGAATGGGCACTCTAACCTTTAGAATGAAGAGAGGAAAAGGAACATAAACACAAGGATTCTCTGCTTTTGAGTCCTGCCCATGAATCGATGTTGGCGAGGTTGTGTGACTTATGAATGACACAAAGACATACACTGTACAATAATTGTTCCCACCAAACATAAACTATATAACTCGATAAAGGTTTCATGTATACCCCTAAAAATTGGATACCGGAAAAATATTTTGATGATCAAACCTCCTCTAGAGTATGGTTTCACAAACACCGAAAAATATACTAGGCTTTGATTTTGAAAATTTAATTTTCTCTTGCTAAAACCTTTCCTTGACCTTGTGCCATCATTCATTGGGTAGGATACTTCATACTTGGGTAGTTTATATTGCTGGAATAACTTGATAATGTGCTCTCTTGGTTAGGTGTTATAGGTTTGATTGTGTTGCAACGAATCAATAAAATAGGTGATTTTGAATTAGAGGTTTCAGGTCCAAATCCATATGATGGCTTACAATTTGTAAAATCTCTTACAAGAAAGGGAGAGAGAAAAAAAAAGAGGTTTGTATTATGAGGCTAATTTCTATTATTCATCTTTCAACCCCTTGGTCGAGCTCTGTTATGGATCTATCATAAATAATCAAGAGGATTTGTAAAACTTAAGAGTGGAAATAAGAAGTATAACTTGAACTTTTAACATATATGGCATGTGAGCCATTTAAGACGTGTTTGCTACATATGACTCAATCATATCTTAACCGTCTTTAGATAAAATATTTTTTTACTGACATACTAAATGAATTAAACCTAGTCGGTGATAACTGATAAGTACTAGAAAGAAAAAAAAGGAGAGGGAAGAGTTGATTTCTGTGCAATTAGTCAAAGTAATTAGCACATGCATGACAAACCAACCAACCAATCAACATGGAGAACTTAACCCTCTTTTCCCTTATTATTCTTACAAAGAGATCATGCTTACCACCATCATTTGAGTGCCAGAGAATTGGATTATTAAGAAACCTCTATTCTTTCTTGTATGCTCTGCCACCTTTCATTCTTTTAAGTCTTTCCCCTCTAATCATGCAAAGTACAGAACATCACCAGCAGGTTCCCACATGAAAGACCTTGAAGCAACACTAGGGCTCATAATGCACATCACATGCCCCAAATTTTATTCTATATAGTTTTATGCCCCTCTTGTGAAGATGAGCCAACAGAGATCCTATGACCAACTTCATGGCTCTCAGCTCAGCCAGCCAGTGGGTGGTCCATGTGAGAGGGTAACAATTCGGTTCATAAACCGGGACTGAGTGCAAACGACCTGATATCTAGATCGCGATTAGATCGGAGTATAGTTTGATTCGATTTTGATAGTTACAGTTTAGTTAACTTATTGGGTTTGGATTGAGCTAGATCATACCAAATATAACCAAATGTTTCGTTGGTCTGATTTGTTCCTTCATTTTCGAACCGGTTCTTCACTGTGTTTTCGAATAGAAAGTATAGAACCATATGGTTCTGGATCAGATCCGAATCGGTTCTTCACAGCAACCAATCATCCTAGCAACCTGCTTAAATGTGGATGCTTGCCTAAACAGTTCAACAGCAGCAGCAGCTTCATGAATGCTTTGAATAAATGCATTGGAAACACAACGTTGGTTCCAAAGATTGAAACTTTCTGCATGTATCGATTAAAATTCTGTGATACCAACAACTGACAATGGGGGAAGGGATGGTGATCATAGGAACCAAAAGAAGAGGATGAAAAATCTGCCCTAAAACATCTGTTTCAAGGACTTCTACCACTACTGTACATAACACCCCCCGTAGCACACAGCAAAATGTTGAAGCCAAAAGGAGTTCACTTAGAAAACAAACAAGGGTGATAAATAAAGAACAAGCTTTCTTCCCTAACTTCTTGGTTCAATATCTTTAAGAAGTCCAACTACCTGCTGCATGCTCGGCCTCTTCGATGGAAGATCGGCCGTGCATAGGTAACCGATCTTCAGAGCTTCCGCCATGTCTCGATCCAATCCTGTACCTCGAATCTTCGGATCAATAGCTCTCAGGCTTTGGTTCTTTCTCACCAACCCTCTAACCCAACTGACTAAACTGCCATCTCTCTCTTCATGGTAGTCATCTTCAACCGGCTTCTTCCCTGAGATGAGCTCAAACAGAATCACCCCATAGCAATAGACATCAGACTTGGGTGTTGGAATATCATAACCCGGGTCAGAGAACTCTGGTGGGGAGTAACCCGGCGAGCCACGAGCAATCTCCTCATCCAACCCATTTCCAAAGACCTTAGCTAACCCGAAGTCAGACAACCTTGGCTCCAAGTTATAGTCCAAGTAAACACTGCTGGCCTTGACATCTCTGTGAATGATTGGCGGAGAGCATCCATGGTGGAGGAATGCCAACGCACGAGCTGTCCCGAGAGCAATCTTGTGCCTAAATGCCCATGTAGTTAGTAAACCTTCAGAGCCCACATTTTGAATCCCATTGTTGTCATCTTTCTCCCATGTCTCGGTAGTCCAATCGTCTGTAGTTGCTTGAACACCGAGTGGGAGATCGTGCAAGAGATTCTGCAAGTTGCCATTCTCCATGTAGTCATAGATGGCAATCCTCTGGTCGCCAGCTAGGCAATAACCAGTCAATGGGACGAGATTTGGGTGCTTGATTCGACCGAGATACTCAAGCTCTCGGGCAGCTTCTTGTTCTGTCAATGTAGAGCCATGGACAAGTACTTTAACAGCTACATGGATTCCACCGGGTAGGAATCCACTATAGACAGGACCAAACTTGCCCTCGGCTAGAAGAGTGCCACGATCGAAGTTTGAAGTTGCCGCCAAGAGATCAGCAAATGTGATGTTCAACAATGGCTTCTCGAATATCACTACTCCAACTGAATTCGCCTGCTTCACATCAGCAACCCATGTGGTTGAATCAGTCTGGAATGAGAAGGGACCCGAAATGTTCTGTTCTTCCTTGTAAGACATTTGCTTCACTGGCCACATTCTGGACTTCCTCCTGCAACCAAAGGCTAGGAATAGCAGTAATGCCACGAGCAAGGTGACCATCGAGATGGTTAATGCTATGGCAAGCTTCTGTCCCTTATGGCGGCGGGTTTTTTCTTTGAAGAGATCTGGGTTTGCAGCAATGGGGCAGCTGTTTGATGAGCCATGCAACCGAGCCTGAATCATTTCGGAAGAGATTTCGGGACCACCACAGAAGGTGAAGTTGTTGGAAGAGAAGTTGAAGCTCGACATCCATGGAAGCTTTTGAAGCACTTGCGAGGGGATTTCGCCAGTCATGTTGTTGCTTGAGATGTCCAGAACTTGGAGGCTTTTCATGGTCAATGAAGAAGGTATATCCCCAGTTAGATGATTATCAGAGAGATCAAGTGTATTGAGGTTCCCAAGCTTGGAAATTTCACCAGGAATTGAACCAATGACGCCAGTTTTCGACAAGTTGAGATACTCTAAACTAGAAACCTCATTGATTTCTGGGAATTCCTTCCTGGAGAATCTATTGAATGCAAGATTGAGATGCTTGAGATTCTTAGCTTGACTGAAATCCCCAAACATTTCTCCACTCAACTCATTCTCTGACAAGTCTAGATAAACCAAGTTGGAACTGAATTGTACCTGAGAGATATGACCTTCAAACTTGTTCCTGCTTAAATCCATCACCTCCAACCCTTCCTGAAACAAACCCATAGCAGGACCTTTGAAAAGATTCCCAGAAATGTTGAGGAAATTCAAGGACTTCATGTCCGTGAAGTCCGAGTCTCTTCCTTCAATCCCATTTCCAGCAAGATTGAGCCTTTGGAGATTTGGAAATGAAGCTCCAAAGCCTTCCGGTAATGACCCGTTTAGCTTATTCAACGAGAGATCCAAAACGACCAACGACATGCAACTCAGAATCTCAACTGGAATCCTACCTTCAAAACCATTTCCACCAATCTTAAGAACTCTCAAGCTGAGCAAAGACCTCACAGCTGGAGGGATTTCTCCAGTGAAGCTGTTTCCAGATAGATCAAGCGTTTCCAAACCACCAAAATTGCCAATGTCGTTAGGGAGAAGGCCAGAAATCTGATTAGAAGACAGATTGAGGGTTTTGAGAGAGCTTAAGCTCCACATGTCTGAAGGCAAAGCAGTGATTCTGTTGCTGCTGAGATCTAGAGTCCGGAGGTTGGTCAGCTTCCCAATTGTGATGTCAGGGATTGGACCAGCGAGTTCCAGACCAGAGACCATTAAACCCACAACGGGCTCTTTCTGGGAATCACAGAACACACCTGGCCATGAACAAACGGGAGATGAGGCGTTGTAAAGTGGAGAGGAATCTTTACCCATGTTCTTGAAGAACTCAGTCACGAAATACCCATCCGTATTGGGCTGTTGAGAAGCTGAAAGCTTGAAGAACAGTGTAAGAACCAAAATGGAGGCGAAGAATCCAAAACCCATCTGGAATCAACTGCCTCAAACCAAAAAGCTGCTGCCTTTTTACTTCACATGCAAAGGCAACACACCAGAAAGGAACCCCCTGAAAGCACCTTTTGTCCAGAAAACAAAAGAAAGCAGTCTTTTTTACAAGTGCTGCTGCTGGTGCTGCTGCCTCAGACTTTTGGGCTTTGGAACTCCATTTCAACAAGCACTCAACACACAGTGAGATTAAAGACTGAAGTTTTTTAGCAATTCAGATAAAAAGGAGCAAGCTCTTTTCCAGGAGGAAAACTACAGGGAGCTAAAGGGTGGTGATATGGTGGTAGGGTGCCATTTTCATTGCTCAAAACTCAAAAGGGACCAGAACTGCAGCCCAGAAGAGCCAAAGGTGGGTCTGAGAGAGAATTTCGAGATAACAAAAGGGCAGCTTTTACTTTTGGGGAAGACTTAATGAAGAAGAAGAACGTGAGCATCACTTTGTCTGGGCTTGTAGAAGAGGTTTCAGTAGAATCCAACAGAAGAAACAAATGAAATACACAAAGAGCAATGGTTCAAACTTCAAATTGAAGCTTCTCTCACTAGCAATGGAGCTTTTTAAGGAACTGTGAGAGGAAAGGGAGAGATGGAGATTGCCTAAAAGGGGGAAAGAGGAAGCAAGAAGTGGACAGAAGTTAGGGGGAAGCTTTTTTTCATAAATGAGGGAGAAAGGAACCCATTGATGAGAGGTTGTTGAATGTGTTTGCATAGGGTGATTGTTTTGTTGGTGGGTATTCAATGATTCTTCTTCAATTTAGCAATTAGTGATGGCAAATGATATTATTTTGTGGAGTTTCTTTCCTGCTTTCCGTGTATGTTTTGCAAAATGGGAAAGCAAAATCTTTGGCCTATGAATCAATAGTGTTCCCCATTAAATTGAAGTTACCATCCCTCAGTAATAGTGATCTTTTCTCTTTACTCATCCATAACGTTTCTCTTTCTCCAGAAATGGCTCCTATTTACCTTTTCTAGTCTTCCTGCTTTGGATGTCGACCATTGAAGCTGTTTTTTCATCCAAAGATTGAATCTTTTGGAGCCAACAGAGGGGAGTGGAGCAGGGAATGGGTAGCTTTTGTTGCATTAACAACCTCCAACGAAGAAATGTCAAAGATTATGTATCTAAAATGTGGGCTCTTTCTTTTCTTTTAAAAGTTGGTCAAGATGGATTTAGGGGCTAATCTATTGGATTGATAGAGGGTTTGGTGTGGATTAAGACAATTATATGTAGTGGAAGTAGCAATTAAGGGGTGACCAAGATGGTAGATATATAGGATTTGTTTTCGTGTTTCATTATTTATGTATTTTCATTTGTGATTTATCTTCTTGATGGGTACTAATTAATTAGATCATGTATGTTGATGTCACTCATTATCAAAATCGAGTTTGATGTCAATAACTTGAATATGTCATACATATTATTATAAATGAAATGAACCCCAAAATTATGATTGAAAGTTTGAAACACATACATGACTAAATTAATCATTTTCTTTCAAATTCGTTTGTTGTCCTATATATGGTAATGTATTGCATTAAAAACATCTTATTTAACATAATTTTCCTTAGTACATACTACAGGAGCAATTATAACAATAATAATCATGAATAAGGTCATCTTAATAATTTTGTTTCAAACATTTCATGTATAGAGTAGTAAATTCTAATTGCTTGAGAAAAGGCTAAGAAAATGGAAAAAAAATTAAAAAAGTTTTGAGCTTTTACCATCTCTTGGACCAAAATCATTGTGAAGTCATGCAAGAGAAATGAAGGTAAATTGAACTTTACTTCACTGCTTCCCATCTCTACTTGATGCTTGTTTTTTACATGAAGCTAATCATATGGTCTTATCCCACTTGGTGTCCTTTTTTATATTGCTTCATTGAAGTAGAAGTCCAAGTGGGGGAGTTGTAAATACTAAATAAATATACTCCTCACTGCCACAGAAGTCCATTTTCTGCCATTGAACAACTACCTTATATCACAAACCTTCATTATTCTATGTAGATACTAGATAGATAAGAAAAAATTTCGATTTTCTACAAGTCTTTTATAATGCATATGCATGTTTAGAGAAAAGTGAAATGATCAGTCACAAGAACCTGTATGATTTATGATTTACTTAGCGTAATAAGGTGTTGCACATCATCATATTAATGGATGAAAATGATTTACTGCAGCTAATTCATCAATTAAGCCGACATAAATGGAACTAAAAAAACAAAGAAAGTACGAACACGATCCTTATCGAGTAATTGTACCGTTGGTTTTCAGCCAGGAGCCTTCTAAGTTCGAATCTCATTCCCCTTCCCCATAACTCTAGTAGCACAGCACTGTTTACGGTAGCAATGCTGGGAATGGGCCGTAATGCAACAATGCTGGGATGGGCCGCCATCCATGTAACAGATTTGTAGCCTACCACAATTTTACCCCATTGGACTTCTAGTCGATTTAGGAAGCAAAAAAGTAGGATGGCAATGGGTCGGTTTTATCAATTAAATGAAAAGATAAGTCTGACATATTCACACCTATTAATTATCTTTAATTAATTACAAATACGTTTATAAATAATCATTATTATTATTATTACAATCACCCCTATACTTTTTTAATCATATTTCCCACATGATTTTTTACCGTCCTCCTACTTACATCAATCATATAAGTTTTTAATTTAACAATTATAGTACTTTCTTTCTCTTTGGAAAAAAAATTATAGTACTTTCTTTCTTTTTATCATCATTTATAACACCCAAATTTTTTATAAAAATACAAAACTACAACTCTTCCTCATACCATGGTCCATGAAACCGTACCGTACCGGCGGTTCAACCACAAAATACCAGTATCGGAGACTAAACCGGTAGACGGTATTTAACGGTCTAACGGTTGGACTACGGTTAAACCACGATTTTATCATAAAATACCATACCATTGGCTTTTTCGGTACAATATCCGGTACGGTTTCATGGACCATGCCTCATACTAACCGTTTTGGTAAAACAGAGCGTTAGAGTTTATTAGGCAGACTTTTCATATAAAAGCTCGCACTTTTCATCTTCTCTACACTGTTCATCCGTAAAAACCTAAAAATTGCAGATCAAGACTGCAAGTGCACAAGACTGAAACCGGAAAAGCATAGGCGCGCGATTGGGACCAAGGGAGACATAGCGCCTCAGATATCAGAGAGTCGCTGCGGCATCAGGAAACTTTCTTGGCCGGCGGTGTACATAATTGGACCATGATGAGCTTATCCCCGACCGCCGATCCCTGTAAGCAAACCCAACCCCATCTCCGGCCACCACAACAAACAGAGATAGAAAGACACAAATGGAGGATAAAATTGGATGTAATATTTGGTGTTTGCCTTTGGCCATTTCTTCTTCTTTTTCGCCCGAAGTCTACTAATCTCCAGAGTCACCGCCGATTGGCTCAGATTAAGTGCCAATGTCATCAAGAAGACTTTCGGGCTAGTGGCTAGCAGCCATGAGAATACAATAAATGGAAGCCCCCGTCTGTAAGATTTGAATACGTGCACTGACCAAATTCCCCAAACAAAACCATTTCAAAATAAAACACGAACTTGGGTGGATAATGGCAGTTCGCTGGAAGCAGGGAGCTTATTACCTTGAGAATCCATAGACTTCCAGAATTTGCCAAAATTCCTAGCTCTTCCTCTTCTTTAACTATTTCTTGTCTTTCGTCGTTTCCTGGTGGCGCATCTAACCACCGCGTCTGTTTCCTCTTTCCAGAACTTCCTTCCTCCACCTACTTCTTCGTGAAATTTGAACTTGAATCTCAAGTAGACATGTTTTCCGGCGACATCGAATTCCCCCGGTCGCCCCCGGCTATGCCGAGGTGTAATGATTTGTTGCTGCAACAGAGAGAAATGGGTGCACCGAGGTTCTTCTGTAATCGATGAGGGTTTTGGACAACTTAATGAATACGGATTTTGTTAGCAAGAGGTGGTGATGACCGCTGGTCTCGCCGACCCTCCCTCCGGCGTTGATAGTTCTTGACTATCATGAAGACTGGCCTGGTCAATCGAGGGAGTCTACAATTGTTGATCACAGTTTCTGGCAATTTGGACTTCATCATTCTCCATATTAAGTTTGGGTGTCTTAGATCCTAATTTGAAAAAAGAAGGCACTTATATAATGAATATTTAGATGATGATTTAAAGAGAATGAACGGTAAAATATCGTATGGGTGTATAGCATATACAAAATAGATGTAATGGATGTGATTGTAATTATAATTATTATTGGTAATTAAATTAATAAAAATTAATTAAAAATTAATTCATAAGTGTGAACATAGGCGTATAGCGTACACCAAGTGTACACCAGGTTTAGGCTAGCGTACGCCCGGGCGTACGTTAGACTACCGTACGCCCGTTTGAGATTTGCTATTTAGATCATGAATTAACCGGAGTTTTGGGCATGATACTATACCCTAAACACTAATGGATAAACCCCAGCCCCTAGTTTTCTAACCCAAATCACGAGATTCGTTTAATCTTGAAATGAAAATCAACAATAGTTTCGACGAATCAAAATCGTTGATTTTCATTTCAAAATTAAATGAATATTATGCTTTGGGTTAGTGAATTGCGGACTGGGGTTCACCCATTAGGGGTTAGGGTATAATATCATGCCCCAAACTCCGGTTAATTCATTGTCTAAATAGCAAAACTCAACGGGCGTACGGTAGGCTAGGGTACGTCCGGGCATACGCTAGCCTTTGCCATATATATATATATATATATATATATATATATATATATATATATATATATATATATATATATGGTGACTTCTATCGTACCTTGGGTAAAATCGAGGGTACGACATACCTTGAGTAAAAAAATGCTATCTAGACCTCGAATTAACTGGATTTTTTGACATGATACTATACCCTAACCCTTTATGGGTGAACCCTAGGCCTTTGTTATCTAAATCATAGAGCCTAACGCCTAAGATTGTGAA